TTTTTTTTTCCCCCCCCCCCCCCCGTGGATTAGGGCTCATGGCGATACCACGTTAAAAAAAGCGCGCCTAAAGCTCTACCTCCAGGAGCAGTACCGCATCATTTACCTGATCGGACTATCCTAAGGTGGTGTGGAAACGAGCTTTTCAAAAATTGTTTTCCCGTTTCTTTTACGATTTGTGCTTTGTACTGCCGTGCTGAGGAAAAACGCCGTATGAATATTCGAGAGGTGCCAAATGTCCTCCGATAAAACGTTTAGTTAAGAAGAAAGTTATGAATATTTTTCCTTGACATTTTCAGTAACTTTAGGTGAAATTGCGAACAAAATTATCTGAAAATTTGGGAGAAAAATATTTAAACATTTTCCCAAAAATTCGTGATATCGCGGAGGAAATTTGGCAACGCCTGAGGGTTTATACGGCGTTCTTCCTTAGCACGGCAGTATAGCTTCTAGATGACGTCAAAACCTGAGAATTTTTTTATTGAACCATACGAAACTGAAATTTTCAGGTGAGAGCAACACGAAGCTGAAGAAGTGTGAATTTTCTTTTTTACACGGAGAGCAGAAATTAAATACCTGGTAACTGCCATCAGGTGCCTATAATGGGGCATCAGTTTCTAATAGACCAAATTTAGAGAAAATTTCCTGATGGAAATCCAATGAAAACGGGACACTACGCTGAGGAGCAACATGCATATTTTAGCAATAACCTGATGACGCTCGCCAGGTTTTGAATTTCTACTAGTCATGTATGATAGGCCAAGGTGATGTCATAAGTCTGTGTGGGAATTTCTACTCGTCATGTATGATAGGCCAAGGTGATGTCATAAGTCTGTGTGGTATACTGCCGTGCAAAAGAAGAACGCCGTATGAACATCCGAGAGTTGCCAAATTTCCTTCGATATAAGGTTTATTTTTGAGGAAAGTTATGAACATTTTCTTTGAGATTTTCTGGAGCTTTAGGTTAAATTTGGAACAAAATTATTTGAAAAATTGGAAGAAAAATATTCATACTTCTACTAGGAAATTCGTGTTTTATCAAAGGAAATGTGGCAACGCTTGAAGGTTCATACGGCGTTTCTCTATAGCACGGCAGTGTAGGGTCTACGGTTTGTAACCATTGTGTTTACACAGCACCGCACCGTTCCGAGTCTATCACAAGGCGACTTTAACGCAGGAGTAGAAAAGTAGAAAAGTCTGATGCCCATTGATGAAAGGCCCATTTTTGATGGCCCATTTTTGCCAAGGTGACGTTTAAATGCTGCAGCACGAAGTTTACTTTCACAGTGGAGGGAAAGTTATTTTTCTTGAATTTCTGCATTATTTCATCTATTAATTATGACTTGACAAAAAAATTAGTCTAGATGCGTGAAATCACAAACTTCTAATTGCTTTAAATTTTTATCCTTTTTAATTGTCGTTTCCTTCTCGCATCTAAGTCTATTTGGACTATTTGGACCGAGTTAACCAGAGAGGAACCAAGCCACATCAGCCATTGCCAAAGGAGGGGTATCGTTAAGGGCCTTTTTTCGGCCCACCCTGAAATTCCTCAACTCCAAGATTTTTTGGTCATTAAAGGTCTATATTTTACGGAATTCATAATGGTTTGGTCATTTCCGATCTATTTCAAACTTTTTTGGATTCAAAGCCCCCCCTGAAAGCCGGTGTTGCCATATTTCATTGCCTGAATTCACGGGAAACCTAGTATTTTAGAATTCGGAGGCTGCTCCTCGTCAAGAACATTCCGAGAGATCAGAAACCTTTATTTTTCACACGCAGTGGCCACATTAGTAGGAAATTTATGCATGTTCTATCTATTTATGTATTTATCTCCCGCTGTGGCGCAGCGTTTCCACATGTTATTCGTGAAAATCGAGAAAAATTCGTGTTTAGGTGGTTTTGGGCCATTTTTTCGGATCATGCCTATGGAATAAATTTATAAGAAAGGTGCAAGTGGATCATATGTGCCGGTATTAATTTTACTAAGATCATGCACCTACAGACGACCCATTCTCATACGCGTTCTTGGAATGATGAAGAAAAAAGTGATGCGCCACAGCGGGAGATAAATACATAAATAGATAAAACATGCATAAATTTCCAACTAATGTGGCCACTGCGTGTGAAAAATAAAGGTTTCTGAACTCTCGGAATGTTCTTGACGAGGAGCAGCCTCCGAATTCTAAAATACTAGGTTTCCCGTGAATTCGGGCAATAAAATATGGCAACACCGGCTTTCAGGGGGGGCTTTGAATCCAAATAAGTTTTTTGAGGAAGGTTTTGACCACCCACGTCTATTTATTGCCAAAAAAGTTAAACTCTGGCGTAAGATGAGTCGCTTTTTTAAGCCATTTTAAATAATGATCAAAAACAGGAAAATTCTAAAAAGTTCTTTTTAACTATGAGCGCAAAGTTTGACATCAACGAAAGTTGGCCAAAGTGACTCTCTTATATCCCTAATGAACATACTTGAAGGACTTTTTTGTCCTTCGAAGGGATCGGTATGAAACAGCGCGTTGAATGCCGAAAAACCAGCATTTTTCGCCAAAATCGGCCTTCAGGCCCATGTTTAGGCCAGTGGTAGACCCCGAAATAGATCGAAAATGACCAAACCATTATGCATTCCGTAAAATATAGACCTTCAATGACCAAAAAATCGCGGAGTTGAGGAATTTCAGGGTGGGCCCAAAAAAGGCCCTTAACGATACTTCTCCTTTGGCAATGGCTGCTGTGGCTTAGTTCCTCTCTGGTTAACTCGGTCCAAATAGACTTTGCAGTCAATTCGAACTAATAGTTCTAAATAAAAATAAATATTATTTATTTTTAAGACTTGTCCACTTTTGACGAGTTTACTTTTTGACGAATTAACCCTAGGAAATGAAGATTAAACGACGAAAAGGAGCCTAAACAAATCTCTATTCATTCAACAACATAAAAATTATTGCTAAAATGCTGTATAAACACGGCCTTAATTACCCAGGCTCATGTTGTCCTTATCGGAGCGTTTGCAATACAGGACTTTACTTACCAGTTGGCTGTATGAATCCTAATCCCCCGTTCGGCACAAAAGGATCTGCATTGGTATGGATAATGTCTACGAACTTAGCATCAGAAGCGTCCAGATACACGGCAGGGTCGTCGCCCTCAAAACCTGGTTGAGCTGGATCTAACCCTATCGTAAAACCAAAAGTTCAATACAGTTAACGTGAGATGCGACTGCCCGTCGTCCTTTAAAGCATATTCACCGCAGTGGCGTGGCGTGAATTGTGATATATCGATTGTTATGCCATTTAAACCTATGAAAAAAGATCGATTATCAGGGTGTTCGCAGCGAACACCTTGGTAATCGATTCTTTACCATAGTTTCAAATGGCGAGATATCGATAATCGATTATTCACGCCACGCCACTGATTCACCGGTGACGTGGCGTGCTTTGCGATCTATTGATAATTCCCTCTTTGAAGCTGTGGTGAATAATCGATTATAAAGGTGCGAATGAAAGTATGCGAACACCCTGTTTATCGATACTTTTCCATGGGTTTAAATGGCCGATCAATCTATACATCGCTAAGCACGCCACGCCAATGATGTTCACTCCTACCTGTGGGATGATTATTGACGAAGGGACTGATAGACAAAGCGATAGGCAAAGGGAAAGTGGAGCGATCCTATTGGTGGAAGCGGGTGGTTGCAATGGACAAAAGAGGTAAGTAATAGACTAACTAACGGCAACCCCCGAAGAAACCTATTCCGCCGTGCGAAGGAAGGACGCCGTATGAACATTCGAGAATTGCCAAATTCCTCCGGATAAA